AATAAATTCTTGTTAGCTTTATAAAATTGTCTCTATTTGCATTTTTTTTTGTGTGTGAGTGCTGCTGTGTCTGTGTGTGGCAGGCAACAATAAAATTTTGGCTGAGCAATTTTCGCAGGGTCATAAGGCGGCGGGGCAGGCGGTGCAATGGTTTCGCTGCAACATGAAATTTTGGAAAGTGCTTTACTGGCGGCTCATGTCCATCGAAACAAGTAAACCAGGCCGCGCCCGCCCGCAAGTGCTTCACTCAAATGGAGCTTAACTCTTTTGACCATGCTGGCCGGAGTGCTGGCATGGCCAGCGGCAATAAGAAGTTTAGAACTCAACGGTTACTTCAAAACTTTCTCTTTAGCTGTTAGCTGCACTGGGAAAAAAGCTAAAAAAAAGAATAGGAAATTATTTGCAACTTTATTTGATATTAAATTGTTAATCTGTCGTCTCTCTGGACTACGTCTTGGGACATACATACATACATATGTATGAAGTGGTTGAAGAAGCTGGGAAGTACTTTTCTAAGGTTCTGAAGCAAAATAATTCCCATTTAGTGACCCAAAATCGATTACAAATTGCTAGGGTCATCTCGGGTAAAATCAAAAGTTTAAAATTTGTTGGGTAGAGTTACAGGAAAATACTCCTTGTGCCTCGTGAAGTTACAATTTTCGTGTTCTGAAATATTTCTAAATAATAATGAATCAGCCGAAAACTTAACTAGCTAATTTTTTTTCAATGCATCTTGATTTTCGGGATGCTAGTTTCTGCAATTTTCAATGTTGCAACATTTCTTGCTGTTTCTGGCAGACCCATCGTCCGTTTTTCAATCCCTTGAAACATAAATTACAAATATGGCAAAATGTGTAGCCTTAACTGTTCGTATATTTGGGCTTTAATTTAGTTTCCTTCCACCATTCGTTACGTTTTAAAATTATTTGACTAATTAAATATTTCAAACAATTTTTTTTTCTTTTTTTCAGGTGAAAATTTGGTTTCAAAATCGACGTATGAAATGGCGCAACTCCAAGGAGCGCGAGCTACTGGCCAGCGGCGGCTCACGTGATCAAACATTACCCAACAAGAACAACCCCAATCCCGACTTATCCGATGCTAAATGCGATCGCCCCATTTCACCGCTCTCGCCAACTCCTCCATCACCACCCTCGCACAGCCTATCGCCACAACCCAAAGAGGAGCGCGCCAATGCCGACACACCAACCAATAACGGTGCAGCCACGCCCAACGCCATGCAATCTCCGGCGTCCACGCCCTCCGCATCTGGCACGCTTCATTCGCCACCGCTCATGCATCATATACCCAGTAGTGTGGCTGTGGCAGCTGCCGCCGCTGCTGTGGCCTTCAGCTCGGCGCCGAGCATGCAAATGAGCTCACCACCTCCGCTGCTGACCGTCGCCGCCAAATTGAATGCCAATCTAAACGATCAATCATCGAACGCATCCTCTTCGGCTGCCTCATCGCCACCGCTTTCTGCTGGCGGCGGTATTGTTATTGGTGGTGGTTGCGGTGCCGGTGGTGCGAGTATTGGCATGCCGCCTTTGTCGAGCGCCGAGTTCCAGGCGAAAATCAATGCGGAAATGCAAAAGCATCTGGCCGCTGCCGATCTCAAATTCAAATTGGAGTCAACAATCAACGAAGCTAAGCAGCGGCGCATCAATATGCTGAGTCTGGCCGGCGCTGTAGCAGGCGCAGGTGGAATCGGTGGTGAACAGCATTCCTTGCAGCTGCACGCGGCACATCCGGGCGGCATTTTCATGAGTGAGGCACTGCAGGCGTCGCATAACCACCAACACCAACACCATCAACACAGCAGCAACGGTATGCACTTGTCAGCATCGCCGCCAGTACCAACGTCAGCGCATTCACATGTCAGTACGCACGCGATGCCACCATTCCAGAATCCGGAATTCATGAAAATGTACTACGACGACTACGATGATTCAAATTCAGATAGTGATGAGGAAATCAGCGTAACGTGACCACATTAAACGAATGAATATCTACGATTACTTGTACATAAATGCATAAATACTAAGTATGTATGTATGTCTAAAAAAAAATGCAACGTTTTTGCTAAATTGTAAATTATTTCTTAATTGTAATGATTTAGGTAAGACTTGGGCCAAAAACATTAAAAAAAACTACGCATACACGCATATACATATATATATATGTATACACGCATATGGTATATGAATGTTTTCGTTTGTATTAAAATGTGTGAGTTTATAAAGTCCGTATGCTTTCGAATTTAAATTTCAAATAAAGGTAATATAAAAATTAAAATTTAAAATTTAAAAAGGCAACAAAATGATGAAATGGTTCAGTAAGTAAGTGGCTGCATAAATACATATTTACAAACAAATAAAAATATTATGTTATGTATGCATTCAGTCTTAATAATTGCTTTCCATATTTTTTTAATGCATTTTTCGAAAATACTAACGAAATATGAACTATTTTTTCTAAGACAAACATACATAGTACTTACTGGAGACGGTCTTCCATAAACTCTTTTCTTTGTAATTTCAAATACTTTTATTCCACGTAAACGACAATAAAATGATTGTTGGCTTGACTAAGCTGGATTTACAACTTGCGCCTAAAAGTATGCACGTTTATACAATGTTCTCAAATTACACTTGTGGTAGCCCAGTAGTAAAACGGCGAAGCATTTGGCGCGATGCACTAGTCAAATATTTACTTGTCTGCTTCGCTTATTTGCACCAAGAATATCCCAGCAAAATGACCTCTTCTATAACAAATATCGCTGCTTGCAAAAATATAAAATTCTTTTGCGGGACAACCCATCCACTTACCGTGCGCTTCTCCTAAGCAGGGCCTAGTAAAAATAACTACCATTGCAATGATAATGGGGCAATAAAGAGCGATCACTTCACTGGTGACTTTGGCTAGTAACTCCTCGTTCAGAGTCTTCCATAATTTTTCTGCCCTAAGTTGCAATGCAGGGATCTAATCGCAGCTTGGCTTTCAGAATTAATGTTAGTAGAACTATTGTCAATAGAACCCATTATCGACCTTATTTTTTTCGCTTAGACCCTGCATTCATGGAATGTCTATTTTCCCATTAACTTTTCTCCGGAATTCTAATAGAGGTCCGCTATATATTTATTCCATTCAACTAGGGATGTGCCGGGTATCGGTAGATATCCGGAATCCGGCTTATCTGGCCGTTTTTTGTTATCCGACTATCCGGCCGGATACTAGCTAAAATCCGGCCGGATTTCCGGATTTAGATTATAGAAGATTCAATTTAAAAATCCAGTTCAGGAATTAATTTTTTTTGTATTTTTATAATCCAATTTAATGTTAGATACCACTAGTATTTAATTAAAGTTAACCATTTTAATATTTTTCCTTATGAAAAGAAGCATTTGCGAATTATCGAGCAAAAATCTATTTATATTTTTAACATAAATGATAAACACAGTTACTGAGTTCACTGAGGAAGGTGGTGCGCAGAGATACTTCATTGCCAGTATAAACAGATTTCGAAATTCTTTGCGATTATGCCTTCACCAAATTAAAGGATTACTCGGCACCGATTTGAAAAGTATCCAATACTTTCGATACTCGGTACCGAAATGTTAAGGGGTCTAATAAGAGAGTGCATAGGCCAAAAATATGGAAAAAGCGGTTCAGGGGAGACTAGTTTATCAAAAGCCGAATGTAGGGGCCAAAGGAGCATTCAATACTGATTCAAATGAAAAATTTATAAATATGTCTTACTTGTTTGTTAACTCAGAAAACCTGATAACCAGGTAAGTGCGAATACCACAAATATTTTACTGTTGCCCGAGTTCAAGTTTTTTGCCCATATCATATAAAATAGCAATCAAATATTTTTTTCTAAACTTGAAATACGTATAATGGCGAACGTTCAATGTAAAGAATCGATATCGGATACCGAAAAGGAAGTATTGAGTACCGAGTATTGGGTACCGACAATTCAGCACACACTATGCTTTTGTAATGCTCCCTCGTGGGTACAAATCGTTGCATTTCTCGTTATGAAAACTTCCACTTGTTTTAGGATATAGATTTCCTCCCAAGAAAAAACCACAGGCGTCGAATCAGACGCACGTTAATGCGCGGCCTGAAGCCGGCTCCTGGAAAGGCCCTGTTATAGACCCCTTCTAGTGAAGGAAAACGCCAAATATAAATTCTTTAAAGGTTAGTCCATTAGTGGGCATAAGTATGTAGATCGACCAAAGATTTAATAGTCTATTAAACATTTCCATATTAAACAATATGCCACGCAGAGCATTGGGTGAGCAGTAAGTGAGTTGTATAGATGTACCCTGAAAAATGGGTACTCATGAATATTTCTAGCATGTCGCTGCTTGATATACTATCCTGCTTGCTAATACATATCTAAGTTAGCTTGAATTTCGTTATGACATTAACAATGTTTACTTCTGGCTAATATCAATGATGCAACTTCATAATTTTATTACAATTTTGTTTTTTTTTTAGATTTATCTTTTAGTATGTTTCAATGATTATTTACTATTTTAAAAACAATGGCATTACACGGAAGTTGTTTAAAAATAGAACTCGCATGTTTAGTATGCATTAAAGCGCATTGAAGTGAGTACAGAGTACACTTAGGTCTCTTTTTATGCGGTTTTTTATGCGAGATTGAATTTATGCGGTTTTTCAAACCATTTCTTCGCTGTAGCGATTTTGCTTTTTTGTGAAGCTTTTATTACTTTTTTTCAGTGTGTAAGAGACAATGCTTTTGATAAATAATTTGTCTTTGTATTCTTAGATAATTCATGTATTTTTTGTGGTATATTTTTTTTGTTTTTGCTTAAAATACAGATACAATTTTATTTATTTCATTAATGTTCAGTTCTACATGGAATAATAAATGTTGAAGTGAAAAAATAAATTGTTTTTTTTTTATTAATATTGCCTCACTGGATTTTTTTTTTTAGAATTTTCTAAATGGAGTATCTGAATTTATGCGGTTTTTTAAAATCGTGGAACGCATCCCCTGTTTTTGTTTGAAAGTAAAGAACTTTTTTACGCGGATTTTTTTTTTATGCGGTTTTCTGAGGAACGCACGTACCGCTTAAAAAAAGACCTAAGTGTATTCTATAGTGTTGTTGCATTGTAATGTATTTTCATTTGTACAATAATTTAATTTGCTACACTTATTCATATAAAAACGATTAATAAATATGTACATACATACATATGTATGTATATACATTTGTTGGTAAAAATGCGACGGCACTCAAAAATTTGATATCGATGATTTTAATTGTAATTTGTTTAAAAAAAATTTAACAAATACTTAACCGGATTACATCGCACACATGCAGATATATGCCCTGTAGGGAAACTCCGAACTGGTGAACCAAATTTATAGTTCCGTACTAGATCTTTATTGCCAAAAACGAACCAGTTCGATAGTAACTAGATCGCCATCAGTTCAAAAGCAGCGATATGTGGTACTTTTAAAAAAGAATTTTTAGAAATCTATATCTAAAATGACGAATTTAGAACTGGTTCAAAACTATAGAAAAAGGGATGCAGAACGAATGCAAACGGGTGCAAAGCGAACTAGATCCCATATGTCGAATTTAGGACTGGTTCTGAACTATAGAAAGGGTAATGCAGCGGGGGACAATTTCCAATTCCGATGACATCGCTGTGTTTTAAATTCGCCAGTTGTTTGCATGCAAAAGAGATTTATCGCGAACTGTACTAGAAATGCACCAGTTCAAAACTAGAGATTTTCCCACAGGGAAGGAGTAGGTGCATATGTATGTAAATACACTCGTACATGTCTAAATACATACACTACGTTTGGCGGGTTTTTTACAATTTGCATGATATCTTTTTGAGTGAGAATTAAGTAATAATAAATTATAATCATAACAAATATTTGTCAAAGTTGCGCAATTGGCATCTTTTATTTCATTGATTTTAATAATAAGCTACAAAATAAACACAAATACATATTTACATAGATACTACTTTTTCGTCTAAATACAAAATATATAAATATTTCTTTATTCGGTCCTCTTTTGTACTTTTGCCCATTTTTTTGTGCATTTTTCGTTTAAACTTATCACTTTCGTCTTAATAACTCTCGTCTTTGATCGTATTTATACAATAGCTTTGTTTCTTAACAGATAATTATCACAAATTATGACTAATTTCTGCTGGAAAGCGTTTCTTAACCCAAAAAACTAGCAGAAACTAGCTGCTCTCTCTCGTTCTTACGCTCTTCTATTTTTGGCTCTGCTGCTAATTTCTGCTAGTTAAATTTTGAATAGCAGAAACTAGCAGCTGTCAAAATGGATAAACAAAAATTCGCGCCAAATATTTTTAATTGTCAAATACACCGACCAGCTGATTACTTGCTAGTTTCTGCTAGTTTTGCGTTTCTTTACTTTTTCGTTATTTCGCTCTCTGTGAGCGTAATTCTTTCAATATTCTCATTCTTCTTCTTGCTGATAATTATCTGCTAGAAAAGAAAAGAAACAAAGCCAATGACATACAACTAAATTACGCACTCGCTTACGTACATGTAAATATATTTACTATAGACTTAAAAATTAAGTTAATGACTGGAATAGTTTAAATATACATACAGATATGTATGTATGTATGTATGTATACTGGTATAGTAAACAATTAAAAAATAATAATAATTATTATCAATTAATAACAAGTACTTAGTTTCAACGTTCGAAGTCTAATTTGATTGAATTTGTACATTTTGTGATGGAGCAATTCGCATTTGCCAAAAAGAAA